CGTCTTTTATTAGTCGCAATGTTGACGTCTTTTATCTGTCGCAATGTTGACGTCTTTTACTAGTCGCGATGTTGATGTCTTTTACTTGTCATAATGCTGACGTCTTTTTCTAGTCAGACCACTGACGTCGATTACTTGTCAGGATGCTGACGTCGTTTGGCTTTGCATATACGACTCAAAAAAGACATTAATAAGACGTCAATATTGGACGTCTTTAAGACGTCATAACGACGTCTCGTGCCCACTGGGATGGCACAGTTTGGAATTGGAACTCGGTGGCAGTATGGCATGGTGGCAGTGGACGCGTGTGACTGACCTACATGACCTAGCCCTCTGGACTTTGCAGTATGTATGTAGATCATCCTACATCATCATCTCACCTCGTGCCTAAAGCAGCACTCCAGTAATATCTTGAATGACTTCATCCTCGTATTGACTGTCGTGTTTTTGTAATTTGTGCGTGTTTTGGGGGTTAAATATTTCCGACTTGTTCAAATTAATAATCCAGTGTAATATCCTGATTTCTAATTTAATGAAAGCAGCAGCTATATTTGTGTAAATTGGTGGTTGTCTGGAAATTTTCTTAGTTCTGCATCCCTGTTTCCTTGAATATTTTGGGTTCTCCACCATCCCTCTCTTTCTTAAAGAATCCAGGAAATGAATTTTTCTTAGAATCACTTTTTGTGTATCTGTGTAATCTTCTTCCATGTATGAGGACTGTTGGACATCTTTTTTGAGCTACGTGAATTGCCCGGTGCCCTTTTTTAAACATTAAAAATTGACGAGTTAGGGTGCTTTTGCTTTGACGTAAATCCAGGAAGACTCGGTTCAGGTTGCATATTTTCATGTTTAACTCGTGAACCCCAAATTTGCTATCTGGGAACAATTCTGTGAATAGAATTATTTACACAGCAATAATAGCCAAAGAAAATGAAATCTGCCATAATAGTGGCTAAAAAAATGCTAGAAATTTTCTGTGCACGGATCAGTGCAACATTGACATTCTAAGCCTTGGATGACATCATGATGATAACCCCGCTCATGAATATGCAAATATGCATTAGTATAAAAACCAAAAAAGCACCAAAATATGGGTTAAATTGCAAAACAGAACTTTAAAATAATGTTAATTGACACCCAAAGATACAATTTCAAGGGTTTTTAGTAAAATGTATAAAAAACATTTCTATTTCCTGGATCCTTTATAATTCGACCACTCGGTAACACAAGCACCCCTTTTTCCTGAAAGAAAAGCCCCCCCCCCAAAAAAAGCAAGTCTGGTCCGAGCCAATTTGGCTCTGAGTCCGCTGTGTATTGCAGTTTCTTTGGCATGAAATGACTGAGAATATTTCTTTTCCCCCCAGATGGGATGTCTGTCCATCACAGGTGGCTTCCCAGTTAATGCTGGTACACCATTTACACTCCAGGGAGGATCAAGAGAGGCAAGCAGGGGTGAAGTGGCTAGCCAAGGGCCACAACATACTGCCAGCAGCTGGATTCGAACCTCCAACCCTATGATTAGAAATATAGACCCAAAGGGTGCAGTGTCCCAATTCAAGGAAAATTCTCTGCCAGGCCGAAGCGCATAAAAAGTACCCCTACAGATACTTTCGAAAAGAGGGGTCTGTTTGGGCCAAGAAATTTTGTGATTGTGTCAATGTGGCTCAGGATCATCTCTGTAGATTCAGGGGCACCCATCTGGGGGCAATGCAGACAAAAATGGGATTGAAAAATTGTCAGAACAGCCCGAGGAAGGTCAGGGATGTCATTTGAAAATGGCTGCTGAGAAGACTTGGGAACATTCACTTTTTGGGGGGGGTGAGTTTGTTTTGGGAGGATAATTAAAAATTCATTGGTTTTAACCTACTAAAAATTGAAAATCAAATGAAATCTGAAGGACCAAACACCACATTGTTTTTTGTTTGAGAGGCCTCAGGGACTTCAGTTGCCTGCCATGGGGCTCCAAACTTCAGTAGAGCTTGAATTGGTTCAGCGCACCCTTAACCACTTGGCCACATGAAAGAGGTCGGCCACACTTTTCCATTAGCCTTTAGTTTCATGTAGCAGCTTTTTACAGTCACTTTGAAAGCAGCTCTGTAAAAATCAAACATGCTGTACATGTTCTCATGCGGCACCCACTTTCACGAAACAGGTCAACTGGTACGCTTGTAACTTTCAACTTCAAATGACCATATCAACTATAAGTTTTATGTCAGATTGATCTGGAACTCCAGATCTGTATTGATAAGGAGTGTTTTACATGCACGCTGAGTGTTAAAAGATCGGCCTTGGGACGGCCCAAATCTCGGCTGTGAGATGGTACAAAATAACCCGGCAACTTCAGGGTTAACACTGGAATAAAATTGACAGAACTTGATGATATTGATTGGTTCCTCCTAGCAATCCTGGCGGGAGGAATTTCCATTGTGTTGAATTGCTGCATCAGAGGCTCCACTGTAAAATGCTGACCAACTATAGAGGGCGCTTTAACCATTTCATGAAGCCAACAACATTACACAATAGTAAAGGAAAGATTAAAGGGGAAAAAGAACTGAACACTGCCATAATTAATGGCACAGTACATGGAAATGGAAAGAGGAAAAAAAGAACTGAACACTGCCTTAATGGCACGGTGCATGGTAACGAATAGAGGAAAAAACAAACTTATCACTGCCTTAATGGCACAATGGTAATGGAAAGAGGAAAAAAAAGAACTGAACACTGCCCGAATTGCCTGATTGATATCAAAGCAGTAGCGCCCCCACTCATCCAGAAAAGCTACCAATTTTTAATGTTTATAGCAAGATACTGAAAATTGTGAAATATTCTGTAAATTGAAAAATTCAGAGGACCTGACGTTGCAATCCTAGCAGAATCTTTCTCCAAGTTATGTGTTCAAGTTTTAATCAACACAGTTGAACTTTTTAGTGACACATACACGTTATAAAATTTAACTGAACATTTGGACGTATAAATATAGAAAGGTTTGCAAATATGTTTGACTTAAAATATACTGAAATATATGCATGGCCTGATTATTGTGTGTGTTCTCTGACTTTAACATATTGAAATTTTCTGTTTTGTTATTTAAATACATGGAAATGTGCAGTGCCCTCTGACCTTTTTTGGAATTGTGCAATCCTAACCTTTAAATATAAGTTCCGAAATTATTTCTCTCAAGAGGCCTGTGGCCTGGTGGTTAGCTTGCTGGCTGTCAGGCCAGGGGACCCCGGTTCAAATCCCGGGGTCCCCGAAAAAGGAGGTTTTTTTTTTTTTTTTTTTTTTTTTTACTAAGTTTTTTAACAAAATTGTGCATGCCCACCTGGAATTGAACCCAGGTCCTTTTGCATAGCAGTTAGTGTCCTTAACCGNAGAAAATTTTTCAGCCAAAACTGTGTACTGGAGATGGTCAAGGGTGGAAGTCCTAGGGGCTGGGAGTCTGAGAGCTGATAGGAAGGGTAGAGTGGATGGCTGAGGGCTTGGGACTATCAGTATTAGAGCTCTGAGGATCCCATGGGGTTGAAGGACATAGCTTCTCAATGTTCTATACTGCTATTGGGTTTATTGTAGCCCTTATAAGATTGAGACTAAAAGGCTCCAAGAGGGAACTTTATATAAGGAGCTTGGAAGATGTTTAAGACTGGCAGGGCTTCCATGTAGGATGAGGCTGTAATTTAAAATCTAAAGGTGGAAACAGATGTACCTTAAACTCTGGCAGTGTAACATGGTTCAGATTAGGAGAAGGGTTAAGTGGCAAAGTACTAGTTTACAAATAGATATACATGTACAAACAAGTTGTTCTGCTAGTGTAAATAAATGAGCATTTATTTCACTTGCAAATAGAAATTAACTGGTTATAGCAATAAATGGTGTTTTTTTTACGTACACACAAAGCTTTTTTGCAATATTTTCAAATGAAACAAATTTCATGTCAGTGCTAAAAGGTCCTTAGAAGGCACTAAAAGGTGTGTAGTGAAAAACATTGTTTTAGACATTAGTTTGGGAAACAGAATTGGTTACAATTTAAACATGTTGGCCGCAAAATATAGTTTGACTTTTTTCTAATGCTCTGGCAATGTGGGTGTACAACTTGGAAAATACAAAATGCACATAGAATTTTGTCTAAGGAAAAACTTAAGAAGATGAAAAAAGAAATTGACTGGAGTGGGATTTGAACCTGCGACCTCTGGAACACCGTACCAGTGCTCTACCAACAGAGCTATCCAGCCATATGTTCGTGGTTCTTCCCATTTGTCAATATCTCAATTGGGGGGGGGGAACTTGTTAAAATTGAGGTTCAGAACAGCCACTGGGTTGACTGAACAGTTAGGGTATTTTGGCTGCCTAAATGGGAACACCATTCAATTTTTAAAAGCATGTAAAGTTACAAGCTTTTAGTCCTCAAAAGAAGTAGTATCAAAGTGTCTGGAGTCTAACTTAAATGTAAACATGAATGTTTTTAAATGAGCATTAATATGAGTTTATGCATTTTGATGAAAAGAAACAAAGGCGAAGAATGAGTCCTTCAAAAGCAAACTGACCAATTGTCTATTCAATTTACAGAGTACCTCTTAAGTCATGACTAATTTGGATGTAAGTACAGTACAGCGGCACTATACTGAACAATTTGGTACATGGAACATAAATCTTGGCTCCATTTTCTGCACACTTCTACTGAACATCTCGAATTTGCTTTAAATTAGAGAGAAAAAAAAATTGGGACTGATGACAGTGTCTCAAAAGTTAAGATGTCAATAAACTCTAAAATTGGAATGGCCATATTATGAGCCCACAGCAAAACAAGCAGCCGCACAAGAGAATCTGTTTTACACAAACAAGAACAATCACGTATGTATGTGTAACAACCAACACTTCAACACAGGGAATAGCACCCTCTTTTTTCTGCAAATGGCACCTCTGTTTTGGAAAATAGCGCCCTCTTTTGCCAGGTCTTTTCCCCTTTTTTATGGAAATCAGAACATTTGATTTTTAAGGCCTATGAAAATGCGACAATTGGAGCAGTAAACATGAAATAGCAATAGTTGGGGAGGTATGCTACACCACGCATTGTATATGGACCGTGCCCCGTACTGCCACGGTATACCAAAATTACCAATATACACTACTCAAAAATATTTAAGGATCAGACTGGCGTACGTTTGTCTTTGAAAATTTCAGTCAGGTGTGTACCTCATTGACTTTACTTATTGTACACTGAAGATCATGTTAATGCTTGGTTCAGCACCACAGATTACGAGACAATGCAATTGGTTTGTAGTGTTTCAGCCCAATTAACCGAAAGGGTAAAAAAGCATTGGGTGAGGTGTATTGCTCAGGTATTGCACAACTTCAAAATGGCCAGGCTCTCTTTGCACATGAATTAAGGATGGGGTAACTCTGAGGCAAGGAGTTGAGAGACTGGGAGTGTCTTAGCGAGTTGGGGGGGGGTACAATGACATGAATGAGACTGGCCAGTACTATACAACCCTGTGGTAAAATGATGCACTTGTATGTGTCTCACTTAAGGACTTCTTGGGAAAAAAAAAGGACCGAAATATTGGACCTCTTGCCATTTTGTGTTTAGGTTTTGGAAAACTGTGAAGCTGCATTTTTTAAAATGTCCTGACAACCACAAATTTGATTTTTTGTATCAATCATCATTTTTGCAGATTAGAAAAATGTGTGATTTGGGGGAAGATTTGAAAACGGATACATGTCAGACATTGCATTATTTCACTGAATAAAAGGGTCTCAACAATTACATGTAATATTTTCATGCCGAGATACATCTTGAGGTGCTTCATTTTTGTGATTCAGAATCACAAATAGTGCCCTCACTTACCAGAATATACTCATAAACAGTGCCCTCACATTACCGCGATATCATTCCAATTCATAAACAGCGCCCTCACATTACCACAATATAATTTTAACTCATAAACAGCGCCCTCACATTACTGTGATATCATTCTAACTCATAAACAGCGCCCTCACGTTACCTCAATATCATCCTAACTCATAAATAGTGCCCTCACATTACATGGTTAAAACTCAATTTTTTTATACATCATTTTCAGGGCAGTAAAGGACCTGATGGACAAGGTGCTGACCAAAGTTGTTTTTTTTTCAGTGTACGTCTTGAGACTTAAGTACTCTGTAGCAGAAGTTTCTTGTTTTGCCAGAAAATAGCCCAATTGAAGGCAGCTCATTTTCGGCGATGTGAATACCATTCGTTTAAATTATTAATCACTATGTATGATCCTTCGATCCTTTGAGTAGTGTACAAATGCAGATAGACTTGCTCCATCACTAAGATGGAAGCAAGGAACTGCATCTCTGGCTGAGTTTGGGCGGCTTGTTCCCGTATGTTCACGAACAGCTTGATTTGTTATTCCTGGGGAATAAATAACTGCTTATCACAAGTAACATGCAACATGGCGGCCTCCATGTACGTGTGTGTTATTCGAGAGTTAAGGTTTGCTTTTCTATATAAACAGGAACATTCATTTCTGCATTACGGAAAATAATATTAATTTTGTAAAACTTCCCATTGTCTACATGGTCAATGGCTTTGGAAACTATCTCTCTACTTTTTGCAGCTGTTCAAAAATTAAAAC